CATAAAAAAGGAGCAACTACATGTCAGTATTTGCCCCTACATGATTTCACACCAATGAGGATAAAAGTAACATCACTGAAAATCAAATCACATACAATTCTCTTATCTTTGCCAATTAAAAATTAGTCTAAATATATTAAAGTAACATAGACTAACCACAATCTTACAAGTTCTGTCAATTCTGTTTGAAGAGAGAGAAACACATTATCAAAGCTCCTAACAGTTTGAATTTTCAAAGCCTACGAAATGGCCTGAGATGATCTGAGATTCAGCAGCATGTATTAACAACTAATGCAACATGACACCCTGGATTTCCCTTATACCAGATACATGAGGGGAAAAAAAAACTAGTAGGAAAAGATGGGGGGCTAAAAATTTATATATATATATACACACACACACACACTGAATCAAGAAATAGGGATTAGCAAAAAAAAAAGAGAGAGAGACATAAAAAAGTCATACTTTCCTACAATTAATGTTGTTTAGTTTCTAAGTCATGTCCAATTCTTTTGTGACCCCATGGACTGCAGCCTGCCAGGCTCCTCTGTCCATGCGATTTCCCAGGCAAGAATTCTGGAGTGGGTTGCCATTTCCTCCTCCAGGGGATCTTCCTGACCCAAGGATCGAACCAGGGTCTCCTGCACTGGCAGGTGGATTCTTTACCACTGAGCCACTAGAGAAGCCCAATTAATGATGTCATAGTTAATTTCAAAAACCGGTTTAAAGCAATTATTGCAAACCATTCTGGCTTTGTGATTGAACATTTTCCTGTCTTCCTTAAAATGCTTCTTTGCACAAACTTTTGAAATTTAAGAATAAACTGATCCTTTTTTAAAAAATGCTGAGATAACTTCAAACTAAGCTTAGGAAACACCACTTTATTGCCTTTAAGAAGTATTCAAATTCACTTACAAAACTTATTTTCATGGTAAGAAATCTTTCTGGTATGTGTATACATAAACACAATGCTTACAAAAAATGGCATCGCAAAGTAGTCTTTAATAAGACACTAACAAATATTTGGTGAGATATGTGGCCTTGTGTTCAAATTAACTGACTTGGTGCTCTTTAAATTTAACAGGTCATTTAGACTAACCTGGCTTTTTTCTCAAAGCCTCTAAAATGTCTTTGAGAGACTCTGAATTTCTAAAACTGAGATTTTCACTTAAAATATTTCCATTGATCATATTTCTTACTGAGGAAACACTTTAAAAGTTGAGATCCAAAGATTCCTGAAGCATAATACAATGAAAATATTTTGAATAAGCCAAGGATATTTAATTATAACAGAGTTCTTCTAATGTAAAGTGTACACACATATACATTTAAAACTTATTTATAAGTATAGTAAATCAAACACTGAGAATGCTATAAAAAGGTATACTGTATCAAGGAAAAGAATTCTTTGACTTCCCTGGTGGTCCAACAGTTAAGAATACACCTGCAAATGCAGGGGACGCGGGTTCGATCCTTGGTCAGGGAAGATTCCACATGCTGAGGGGCAACTAAGCCTGTGTACCACAGCCACCGAGCCCAAGCGCCAAACTGCTGAAGCCTCACGTCCTAGAGCCCACACCCCCCAAGAGAAGCCGGCGCAAGGAGAAGCCTGTACACAGGGTCAAAGAGCAGCCCCTGCTCGCCACAACTAGAGAAAGCCTGCGCACAGCAGCAAAGACCCAAGGCAGCCAAAAATAACAAATAAATACAATTTAAAAAAATTCTTTTAGAATCAGGTCAACATCACATAGCTCAATTATCAGCTCTGGATCAATTCTAAGTAGTTAAGACCATCTTAACACATCATTAAAAGTTCCTTCACTCAGTAATAATTTTTCATGAGCATACTATATAAAGTGATTAAGATAAATCCACAATTTAACATGAACTTTACATTATTGAAAATCTAATCTGTAGGCAAGCATCTTCTGAGTATTAAACATTTATCAATCATTCAAAAATCAGCAAAATGTAACTATATATTTCTGGTCTTTACCCACAAATCTATCTGTGGAACAAATCATCATTATAGATAACCTTAAGATAAAAAATGTCTAACCAGGATTTGAAATATTTCATTCCAAATAACAACAAATTCACATAGCAGAGAACTGATTCTTTGAAATTTTTCAATAGTTGTCTTCAGAAAGCTTAACTTCAGTTATACAACAAACATTGCCCTAACTTGAAACTGAGGTACAGGTGCATCCTGACCCACATTTCTTAGTAAATAAGTTTCAAAGCTGTCAGTTATAACATAGCTAAACAGACATTCCCCTGTGTATTCTTCTTCCTTTCTGTCAATGGTTACAGAAAGGTTTTCACATGAAAAGAAGCAAACACTTCTGAGTAGAAAATTATATCAACCAAAAATGCCAAACTTTCTGCCTAATTCTACTTCATTTCATAAATTTCCACAAAGGAAAAGAGGAACTCTGAAGCAAAAATACATGTAAAAACTTCTAGCCAATAACAATCAAATTGTTTAACATATATTGATTTTAAAAGCAAAAATATTTCTCTCTGCATTTTATATTAATATTCATAGTTACAGTAACTTTTGTTTTTTGTAAGAAACTCCCTGTATCTATAAAGTTCACCTCATCACTCTTAACTAGGCACAATCTCTCTCCTCTGTACTGCCTTGTTATGAAAACTTTTGGTGTGGGGGCGCTGAGGCTTAGTAACAGTAAAGCAAAGCAAAGTGACATAACAGCAGTAAGGAAGAAAATGAAAGGAAAACATAGGCAGGTCTCCCTTCTGCTGATAAACACCATGGCAGTTAGTTGCAACAACTAGATAACTTGACAGCCACAATTCTCAGAAGTACATAAAATTTATATGGTAGAAATAATGACTCAGAATAATTAGAGAATATACTTTGTGATTATTTAAAATGAGTATACCCTTTAAGTAAATTTGACTTTACAGGGTTTAACTTTTTTCACCTCTACAATATCAAATTTTATTTACAACTCCCCCTTTGCTTTGCATACAGCAGCAAAATACACATAAAATTATTGGAAGAGGCAAGGGTTCAGTATGTGTTATGTGATCTCTCTATATACTCAACTAGAAAATTTACTCTCAAGAGTCTTATTTCCTATTTCATGGTAGTTAGGCTCCTCTGTTTCCTCTAGATACTTCTACCTATTAACCATTTCATTGTTCACTAATGAACAAAAGAATGTGGACAACGTGACTCTGCTATTCACTTACTACAGTCAATTTACCTGTAGAGATTTGAATCAAAGCTGAAATTCAAAGGTCTTCTATTTTAACCCCTCAACTCTGGTGGTTCCAGTTATATTACATTGTTAAATACTTTATATATTAAGTAGCAGAATGACACTTCAACATTATGCCATTCCACTCTCCTTATTTTGCAGTTCAGAAATCATTCAGAGAACTTAAGCTAGCACAGAGACAGGGTCAACTCAGGGTGTGTTAACTCCTAAGACCAATACTTGTCCTATTAAATAATTCTTCTTTCCATAACTCCTTTTTTCTTCTATGATGTTCCTGTTATTCAGTTTGCCTTTCAAACTGATAAAGTACACCTAGCATAACCAGAAAACCCCAAGTGAAGTGAAGTCGCTCAGTTGTGTCCGACTCTTTGCGACCCAACAGGCTCCTCCGTCCATGGGATTTTCCAAACAAGAGTGCTGGAGTGGGTTGCCATTTCCTTCTCCAGGGATTGAACCCGGGTCTCCCGCATTGTAGGCAGAGGCTTTACCCTCTGAGCTACCCCAAGCCTCAAGTCAAATACATATACCATTGCTCTATTTTCTATCCAACATTTTTCTGAGGCCCTCCTAACTGCCAAGGCTTTCCTGTTCCTTGTCCTTCACATTTCTCCATTAAATAATGTTTCAGTTATGTATTATTTTATGTTATAAAAAATGTGATGCTGATATAGAGTGCTCTTTATATCAGGAAGTATTTTAAGACCTTTAAATACAGCATCTTATTTAATCTTCAACTTTAAATAAGAAATATAATACTTATAATGCCTATTAAGTACAAAAACCAAAGCTTCAGAGAGGTTAAAAAAATCTGTCGTAATTCACAAAGCTAATAAGTACAAGTGGGTAAGTAATCAGGCAGTCTGACCCTAATGTCCATATTCTTGACCTCCCTATATGATAAGTCTATATAACTACATGGATTGCATTATGAACACAGACAGTAACTTAAAATTTGGGTGCTACAGAAGAATTTTAAAGGTTTTTGCACTTGAAGAGGTTTCTTACACATTAAAATAGCTTAAGGTAGCTTACTCTGATAAATCCTATCTTCTTTATAAAAACATGGCCCAAATAAGAACTCTTAACTCATTCATATATAATTAAAACTCAAATTTGAAAAAATAATTGGGGAGGAGGGCTGCAGCAACACTTTAACAAATATACAGATCAGAAATGTTCAAAAGAACCTTTGCAGTGATAGCAATGTCATCTATTCTGGTCTCTCTATCTCGGTAGCCACTAGCCATGTGTGACTATTCAGCACTTGAAATGTGTCTAATGTGACTGAGTACTGAATTTTGAAGTATTTTGTAATTTTCAAATTTAAATAGCCACATATGGGTACTGACTGTTACAGTGGACAGCACACATATGAAGACAAAATGCCAGAAAAAAATGAGTAAAGAAATTCTTACTGCTTTTATTTGGAGAGTGCAGTTAATAATCATATCAATTTAAATGTCTTCTTTTACTTGTTCCAGTTTCAATTATTACACCAAATAATATAAACCTTCAAAGAGATTTAAGTATCCCAATCTTTCTACACCTAAATTTTCCTTTGTGTATCTCAATGGAAAAAATAGTTAAAATCTGTATTTTCAACAAAGCATCATTTATTGGAAACTTTTTTACTGTGTGGGAAGTTAAGCGTGAATCTGAATCTGAAAACTCTGCCACCTATTAGAAAAGCTAAAAATTACAGTCACATAAGTTTTAAGTTGTTTTCATAATACTTGGTAATAACATGCTTACCTTGATTCTCCACTACTGTTTTTAACACTTTCTTCATCACTGTGTCCATTCATTGTAAATATCAAGAAGTTTTAAAATAAAATATAAATCTTCCCAGTTTACAAGATGAGTATAAATACTGACTCCTCTTTGAATATTAAAAATTCACAGATGAATTTTCTTCAATATTCACAGGTTTCCTAGGACCCTTTTTGACTCACCTAAAAAAAAAAAAAAAATTCAGTAAGAAGAAAATTGCCTGTAGAGAAAAACACTGAAGAAGCCTATTTAGAATTTATACAAATCTACCTAGGCCAATTTGATTAGATGTGGCAAGGAAGGGGTAGGGATCTTTTTCTCAAAATACCTAGGCTTCTATTAACTACATTCTTGACTATTTATGAGAATTTAGCACACCACTGCTTATTTTTGACAGAAGAAATGAAAATGCCTGTGGAGTGACAGAACTTTCAGACCAACTGCAACTGTGTGCGTACAGTGTACACCACACATTATGGCCAGATAACTAAAGCAGAGTGGGAGTAGGTAACATCTACCTAAATTCCAAAAATAGAAAAAAAGTCTTAATAGATACTTGGTCAAACAAATAAGGGGGGGGGGGGGGAGGAAGGTTACTGTTAATCCAGCACTGATTCCTATTACCAAGGGCTTCATACACTAGAGTGAGAGAGGGGAAAGTTTTGAAATTGCTCACATAAAAATAGGAGAGTAAAAGTGTATCACATAATCTGTGCAAAAAAAAAAAAAGTACAAAGTATCAAAATAAATATGTTCTTTCACATTTACCGGTAAATTAAATAGCGGAGTTTTATGTTTCAATAATGCAATATGTATCCAGTTCGGAGGTGCAGAGATTCTACTGAAGGAAAAAAAAAAGGTATAGGATAAACACTATGTTGTTGTTTTTTTTTTTAAGTAAAAGGTTAAAGGGCAGAAATCGCAGACTAAAGAGCCAACATTTCCACCTTTCAAAATACCAGCACAACACTGGAGAGTCACCTACAAGCCAACCACGAATAAACAAAGGAGATCTCTGGCAGGGGAGGGAGAGGAAGAAGCGGGGGGAAGGAGACGTCAGATCCTTCCCCAGCCAGAAAGTACCGACCGAGACGGGCGACTGAGAACAGAGCTGTCCCTCCGACAGCAGCACACAGAACTGACTCCTACGATTATTTCCATTCCGCAAGGAAAAAAAAAAAAAAAAAAAGAGGAGGAAACAGGCTGCTGCCAGCCAACTCGATCACCTCAAACTCTGCAACGAGATCGCGGATTTTTCATTCCCCAGGGACTACAGTCCCGTCGACTTCGCAGCAGCAAACTGTTACCCCGCGCCCCACCAAAAAAAAAAAAAAATTATTTCACGCAACACTCGTTCCTCAGGTTAAAGATGAAGGCCACCAGGCCAGAGAGCTTCCCTATTAAAACGATCAGGTCTTTAAAAAAAAAAAAAAAAATCTGGGCACTCTGGCAAACTGCCTCTTTCCCGAAAGTCTCTCTTCGCTGAGGAAAAACAAAAGTTCACTTTTCCTTCTTTCCTTTTCACCTTTCACGTTTGCCCCCCTCAAAATGGCTTTTCTCCGGTACTTTCTAACTTCCTTTTTCCTCTCCGTCTTCCTTTTTGCGCGGTCGAGTCCTCATGCCGAGAGCCTCCACGCTCCGTGAGGCTCCCGGGCGCCCGCCGGCCCTCCACACCTCGCGACGCCGCCGCTTCCCCTCAGCCCGTCGCCCTCGCCGCGGCGCCCGTCCTCCGCCCCGGCCTCTCCACGGACGCTTTCCTCCGGCTAAGTTTTCCAAGCGGACTCAAGCGGAGCCTGGAAACCTCCCTCCGTGCGCCGTCCGCAGCCGCTCGGCTCCCTTCAGCCTGCGACCCCCGATCCCGGGGCGCACCCCCACAAGCCCCCCCACCCCTCATGCCGGTCCCGGGGTCTCCCCCTTCCCGCCTCAAACTTCCCACACGCCCAGCCCGCGTCCTCCCCGGCGCGCTCGGGCCGGGCCCCCTCCCCCCCGCCGGGCCCGCTCCCCACGTGCCGGGAAGAAGCCCCGGTGGTAGCGGCGGGACCCACGCCCCGGCCGGGCGCGCCGCTCGCGCCTCGCGGCCCGTCCGGCCCCGCGCCGACGGAGGCCGGGGCTCGACCGCCAGCTGCACACGCCCGCCCGCCCGGCTGGCCGGCCGGCCCAGAGGATGCGCGCTCTGCGGCGCCGGCCTGCGCTCGCCGCTCACACGCCCCCCTGCGCGCCCGGCCCGCGCCGCCGGCCCTCGCGGGCGCCCCCCGGGCCTGTGCCCACGGAGTCCCGGCCCGCTGGGCCGCCGCCGCCCGGGCACCCTCCCCCCTCCCCCGCGGAGCCCCGGCCCTCCGCCGGGCCAGCTCTCGTCCCTCCCTGCCACATCCCGACCCGCCCGCCACCCCCTTTCTTACCGGTAGGGCGTGCAGGCTTGGCGGGGCGGAAGGAGCCGACTGGAGAGACGGCCTCCCCGGCGCCCGGGCCCCGCGGTCGGCGTCCTCGGGGCTCCGGGGCGTGTGTGGGCTGTGGGGGGGTGCGGCGGTAAAGCAGCAGTCCGCGAGGAGGGGAGAGGGGGAAGGGGAAGGACGCGGAGGGGAAGGGAAAGCCCCGGCGGCCGGCTCCGACGCGCCGCGATCCCCCTGCAGAGCGGCTCCAACAATCAATTCATTATCGAAGCACCGAACAACTGCGAGAGCCAGCGAAAGCGACAAGTAAGCAGCGACCGTGTTCCCCGCGGCCACGCGCGCGCGCCCACTCCCGCTGCTTATCGGCTCCCGGCCGCCGCCATGACGCCGAGAGAGCGAGCGCAACCGTCTCCGTCGTAGCCGCCGCCGCCGCCGCCGCCACCGAGGTCGCCGTCGCCTCCGCCTCCCCGCGACGTAAGCGACTCTGCTCACTCCCCTTCCCCACCGGGCGCGAGGCGGGCTGGCGGGCGTGCACGCGCACGCCGAACTCCACCGGCGGCTAGCTGGCGCGTGCGCGCGCGCGGAGATAGGCGGGGCTACGTCCTGGAGCTATGGGGGGGGCCGTCCGGGGTGGGGGAGAGGCTTAGGAAGAAGCTGATTGGTCTGTGACTGGGGCGGAGAGCGGAGGGCGCGCGCGCGCGCCGTGCTGCGAGCGCGCACGCCGGCCGCGCAGAGGCTGCCGGACTCTGGCCACCGCGGTGGGCCGTAGATGCTGGGCTTGGGGCTTCCTATCTCCGGCCCTGGCGTTGAATTCCGGAAAGTGGGAGCTGCAGGCTCGCTCCCCGCGGGAATGGACGCTCCTGTCACTCCGGATGGTTGCGTGAGGACATCAGGAAACAAGAGGCCGAGAAAGAACTAGGGAAACGTGGTGGGGTGAGGGGGGAAGGTGGGCAGATGCTGAAGACGGAGTGGGCTGGCGGAGTCGCGGGGGCGGGGAGAGGCGTGGGGTCCGGTCGCCCGGGCCTCAGCCGGCCGCCGGTTCTGAGCGCCCGCCCTGAGGGGCGGAGGTGGGGGCGCTGCGTCACACGAGGCAGCCTGGGAACCCAACTGTTGGGCAACTGTGGTCTCCTCCCGCCGCTCACTAGGCTTAGTTGCCCTGAGACAAAGGCTCTCTCGAGGGCGGGGGTGGAGGGGAAACCGGGCACCTGAGGAGGCTGAGGGAAACAGACCGAGTTTTCCACCCCCTGTGACCGTTCTGGAATCGTTCGTAGTATAAACTATGTGCCTTATTCAGAGAAGAAACTTCCAGGTCGGCTCCCTGGAGGGCGGGGTAGTGAAGGGTGCGCCGCCGAATCGCTACATTAAAAAAAAAAAAAAAAAAAGCAACAAGAGCGACGTTGGCAACTGTCTCAGGTTAACGTAACTGCAATTTAGTTGACGGTTTCTTTCGTAACTGTAACTGCGGGCCTCCGTTACGCTGTCCCTCCCCCACCTCCTTTATAGATCTGCCCAAAGAAACACTTAGCTTTTCAAGCCTGGTAGTAGTGTTTCGCTCCAGCTCTTTTAAAGTTGGACTTCTTTTACGCTCCATTATTTTTCTCGCCCACATATCAGTCTTGAGTCAGTGCAGGTTAATGATAATTTTTTAAACTTTCTAATATCCCGTTCTTCAGTTACTTGAGTTGATGTAAAGGCCTGCCCTTCAAGTCAGATGATTGACGATATCTGCTTCCCAAAATAATTGTTTTCATACGTAGGATGTACTGCCATTTTCGTCTGATGTTTAAACAGTTTGGTTCAAAGCCTTCAAGAAGATATCCAAACATAACACTAAATGCGTATTTATTATGTGGAAAGGTATATTTACCCTTGCAGAGTATAAGAAGGCAAACAGGTACATAGAGCCTACTCGGGGAAAAAAATGTGTGGTCAATGAATAGTGTGACAAAATGAAACACCACTACAGATTGCAAAATGATCTGTGCTTAGTCTCTTCCTTTTTTTTTGTTTGCTAGTTAAATTGCTGTAATGCTGTAATGTTATGGGGAATAACAAGATCTTGCAAATCTCCATCTCCGAATTCCCTGGAAATAGGAACCAAGTGCTAATTTTCAATAGCATGCTTTAAAAATATTATAAAGGGGCCTTAATAGGAACTTTCAGTTTCTCAGACTAATTTCTTTCTTGGATTACTAGAGAGGTAAGTAAAAAATAAAGGCCTGAGAAAACATGGTAGAATTTTGTAATGAGTGTGGTTCAGATAATAAAGTCTTCAATTTTAACCATACTGCATTTTATTGTTGTCTTATAAAAAGTGATTACTGTATGGAGTTTTATATGTTTGTTGAAAGTACATGTCAAACCTTTTTAAACTACTGAGTTGCCATTTGAATATGATATGCTTCATATAATTTCGAGGCACCTTTTTTGCAGGGGGAAAAAAACCTTGCCAAATTTGTAATAAAATACTGAAACTTGGAGATTTATGTTTGTGGTAAAATCATAATATACTTTATGACCCCACAGAATTTTACAATGACTGTTGAGACTGTGGAGAAATACAAGGTAAGTGGAAAACTGAAACAGTTTTTTTAAAAGCCAGTTGGTAAATAAGACAAAAGTATATTTTTTCTGTAGAGTTAAGT